TAGAAACTGTATTTTTGTCGATTTTTATTGAATTTGAACTATATTTCAACGTTTTTTGATGGTTCTGAGCCACCAAACACACTTAAAGCATGCAGAATCGACTCAGAATAGGAAAAGGAGACGTTTAGGTCAATTTTATGCATTCTGGCGTTCGTAGATACAAGAAAACTGTTAAAATTCTTCAGAAACGTCACTTTTGAAGTGTTTTCTTGTACTTTTAAGCCAATCAGATACCCTACGGGCTCGGAAAGTGCAACGAAACCATCAAATTTTAGCTAGAAACTGTATTTTTGTCGATTTTTATTGAATTTGAACTATATTTCAACGTTTTTTGATGGTTCTGAGCCACCAAACACACTTAAAGCATGCAGAATCGACTCAGAATAGGAAAAGGAGACGTTTAGGTCAATTTTATGCATTCTGGCGTTCGTAGATACAAGAAAACTGTTAAAATTCTTCAGAAACGTCACTTTTGAAGTGTTTTCTTGTACTTTTAAGCCAATCAGATACCCTACGGGCTCGGAAAGTGCAACGAAACCATCAAATTTTAGCTAGAAACTGTATTTTTGTCGATTTTTATTGAATTTGAACTATATTTCAACGTTTTTTGATGGTTCTGAGCCACCAAACACACTTAAAGCATGCAGAATCGACTCAGAATAGGAAAAGGAGACGTTTAGGTCAATTTTATGCATTCTGGCGTTCGTAGATACAAGAAAACTGTTAAAATTCTTCAGAAACGTCACTTTTGAAGTGTTTTCTTGTACTTTTAAGCCAATCAGATACCCTACGGGCTCGGAAAGTGCAACGAAACCATCAAATTTTAGCTAGAAACTGTATTTTTGTCGATTTTTATTGAATTTGAACTATATTTCAACGTTTTTTGATGGTTCTGAGCCACCAAACACACTTAAAGCATGCAGAATCGACTCAGAATAGGAAAAGGAGACGTTTAGGTCAATTTTATGCATTCTGGCGTTCGTAGATACAAGAAAACTGTTAAAATTCTTCAGAAACGTCACTTTTGAAGTGTTTTCTTGTACTTTTAAGCCAATCAGATACCCAACGGGCTCGGAAAGTGCAACGAACCCATCAAATTTTAGCTAGAAACTGTATTTTTGTCGATTTTTATTGAATTTGAACTATATTTCAACGTTTTTTGATGGTTCTGAGCCACCAAACACACTTAAAGCATGCAGAATCGACTCAGAATAGGAAAAGGAGACGTTTAGGTCAATTTTATGCATTCTGGCGTTCGTAGATACAAGAAAACTGTTAAAATTCTTCAGAAACGTCACTTTTGAAGTGTTTTCTTGTACTTTTAAGCCAATCAGATACCCTACGGGCTCGGAAAGTGCAACGAAACCATCAAATTTTAGCTAGAAACTGTATTTTTGTCGATTTTTATTGAATTTGAACTATATTTCAACGTTTTTTGATGGTTCTGAGCCACCAAACACACTTAAAGCATGCAGAATCGACTCAGAATAGGAAAAGGAGACGTTTAGGTCAATTTTATGCATTCTGGCGTTCGTAGATACAAGAAAACTGTTAAAATTCTTCAGAAACGTCACTTTTGAAGTGTTTTCTTGTATTTTTAAGCCAATCAGATACCCTACGGGCTCGGAAAGTGCAACGAAACCATCAAATTTTAGCTAGAAACTGTATTTTTGTCGATTTTTATTGAATTTGAACTATATTTCAACGTTTTTTGATGGTTCTGAGCCACCAAACACACTTAAAGCATGCAGAATCGACTCAGAATAGGAAAAGGAGACGTTTAGGTCAATTTTATGCATTCTGGCGTTCGTAGATACAAGAAAACTGTTAAAATTCTTCAGAAACGTCACTTTTGAAGTGTTTTCTTGTATTTTTAAGCCAATCAGATACCCTACGGGCTCGGAAAGTGCAACGAAACCATCAAATTTTAGCTAGAAACTGTATTTTTGTCGATTTTTATTGAATTTGAACTATATTTCAACGTTTTTTGATGGTTCTGAGCCACCAAACACACTTAAAGCATGCAGAATCGACTCAGAATAGGAAAAGGAGACGTTTAGGTCAATTTTATGCATTCTGGCGTTCGTAGATACAAGAAAACTGTTAAAATTCTTCAGAAACGTCACTTTTGAAGTGTTTTCTTGTACTTTTAAGCCAATCAGATACCCTACGGGCTCGGAAAGTGCAACGAAACCATCAAATTTTAGCTAGAAACTGTATTTTTGTCGATTTTTATTGAATTTGAACTATATTTCAACGTTTTTTGATGGTTCTGAGCCACCAAACACACTTAAAGCATGCAGAATCGACTCAGAATAGGAAAAGGAGACGTTTAGGTCAATTTTATGCATTCTGGCGTTCGTAGATACAAGAAAACTGTTAAAATTCTTCAGAAACGTCACTTTTGAAGTGTTTTCTTGTACTTTTAAGCCAATCAGATACCCTACGGGCTCGGAAAGTGCAACGAAACCATCAAATTTTAGCTAGAAACTGTATTTTTGTCGATTTTTATTGAATTTGAACTATATTTCAACGTTTTTTGATGGTTCTGAGCCACCAAACACACTTAAAGCATGCAGAATCGACTCAGAATAGGAAAAGGAGACGTTTAGGTCAATTTTATGCATTCTGGCGTTCGTAGATACAAGAAAACTGTTAAAATTCTTCAGAAACGTCACTTTTGAAGTGTTTTCTTGTACTTTTAAGCCAATCAGAGACCCTACGGGCTCGGAAAGTGCAACGAAACCATCAAATTTTAGCTAGAAACTGTATTTTTGACGATTTTTATTGAATTTGAACTATATTTCAACGTTTTTTGATGGTTCTGAGCCACCAAACACACTTAAAGCATGCAGAATCGACTCAGAATAGGAAAAGGAGACGTTTAGGTCAATTTTATGCATTCTGGCGTTCGTAGATACAAGAAAACTGTTAAAATTCTTCAGAAACGTCACTTTTGAAGTGTTTTCTTGTATTTTTAAGCCAATCAGATACCCTACGGGCTCGGAAAGTGCAACGAAACCATCAAATTTTAGCTAGAAACTGTATTTTTGTCGATTTTTATTGAATTTGAACTATATTTCAACGTTTTTTGATGGTTCTGAGCCACCAAACACACTTAAAGCATGCAGAATCGACTCAGAATAGGAAAAGGAGACGTTTAGGTCAATTTTATGCATTCTGGCGTTCGTAGATACAAGAAAACTGTTAAAATTCTTCAGAAACGTCACTTTTGAAGTGTTTTCTTGTACTTTTAAGCCAATCAGATACCCTACGGGCTCGGAAAGTGCAACGAAACCATCAAATTTTAGCTAGAAACTGTATTTTTGTCGATTTTTATTGAATTTGAACTATATTTCAACGTTTTTTGATGGTTCTGAGCCACCAAACACACTTAAAGCATGCAGAATCGACTCAGAATAGGAAAAGGAGACGTTTAGGTCAATTTTATGCATTCTGGCGTTCGTAGATACAAGAAAACTGTTAAAATTCTTCAGAAACGTCACTTTTGAAGTGTTTTCTTGTACTTTTAAGCCAATCAGATACCCTACGGGCTCGGAAAGTGCAACGAAACCATCAAATTTTAGCTAGAAACTGTATTTTTGTCGATTTTTATTGAATTTGAACTATATTTCAACGTTTTTTGATGGTTCTGAGCCACCAAACACACTTAAAGCATGCAGAATCGACTCAGAATAGGAAAAGGAGACGTTTAGGTCAATTTTATGCATTCTGGCGTTCGTAGATACAAGAAAACTGTTAAAATTCTTCAGAAACGTCACTTTTGAAGTGTTTTCTTGTACTTTTAAGCCAATCAGATACCCTACGGGCTCGGAAAGTGCAACGAAACCATCAAATTTTAGCTAGAAACTGTATTTTTGTCGATTTTTATTGAATTTGAACTATATTTCAACGTTTTTTGATGGTTCTGAGCCACCAAACACACTTAAAGCATGCAGAATCGACTCAGAATAGGAAAAGGAGACGTTTAGGTCAATTTTATGCATTCTGGCGTTCGTAGATACAAGAAAACTGTTAAAATTCTTCAGAAACGTCACTTTTGAAGTGTTTTCTTGTACTTTTAAGCCAATCAGATACCCTACGGGCTCGGAAAGTGCAACGAAACCATCAAATTTTAGCTAGAAACTGTATTTTTGACGATTTTTATTGAATTTGAACTATATTTCAACGTTTTTTGATGGTTCTGAGCCACCAAACACACTTAAAGCATGCAGAATCGACTCAGAATAGGAAAAGGAGACGTTTAGGTCAATTTTATGCATTCTGGCGTTCGTAGATACAAGAAAACTGTTAAAATTCTTCAGAAACGTCACTTTTGAAGTGTTTTCTTGTACCCAGTAAACACAGTTACATTATAGCGACTTCTATGTCATGTTAATGTAGTTACGAACTTGTACCATGTTACATCCCACACTGCGCCCATGTGCGCTCCCTGTGCTGTGTAATGTAATCAACATGCTAACATTTTTGGTACATGTTGACTATATACCGTCTGTGACGTACTGGGGACATCAACATTATTTCAGACTAAAGACGTTCTCTCAGTACATCGTTGTAGCGTTAGATTAGTACATCGCCAGATTCTCTACATTTTAATGTATCATTTACGTTTCGTTTAAATGTCAGTATAACGTATTAAATTGACATACACGTTGCGTATACATCACTACGTCGTAAACATGTAACTGCCAGTATATTTTATTAACATGATGCATGCGACGTGAATAGGCATGACAAAAAACCCAGCTATTAATAATGCTATTTAAATGTATCACTTAAGGGTATGGGATGGGAACATTGATGAAGTTAATGAAACTTAATTCAGATAAACCATAATTTTATTTAAATTTGGAAAAAAATATAATATATAATTTAATTCTAATACAACACATATATTTTATTAAAAAACCACTGAAACTTCAATTCGTAGCTTTTTCCCTCTTTAAACTTTGAATGACGTATTCACTCTGAGCAGCATTGCTCCACTTCTTTTTCTCTTACAAAATGGGCCTTCAGTATAATTTCTTCAAAAATAAAAATTAGAACAATTATATTTATTGCAATAAAATATACCTTTCACGATATTTATCGCCTTCGTCTCTGCTAGTCTGAAATTTCCCCGCTAACCCAGCCATGAACAATTAGTTGCAAATTCGTTAGAAAATATTTTTTTTAAAACACGTCCCACATTATCCTTGTACCCATTACCACCTATCTGGGACAACAGTCTTTTCTGAAACAAGAAAAAGTGTATATTTTATGTGCATTCACCAGGTCACTTTGAAATAAATTCGGAAAAAAAAAATTACAACATCATCACCTTATCTACCGAACATTTTGTATTAATTCTAATGTGGGGGGGGGAGGGTTAAATCCCAAAATCCACATCAATACCAAGCAAAAAAATTGGTATGTCACCATGAGAATTGAATAAATCAGCATTATTAACATTTACACATGTTCTCTAGACCAGCAATTTAAAAAACAAGACCTTCCAAATGCTTTAATTGTGCGTGAAATTTAATGGAGTTTTTCCAAATCTATTTAAAAGAGACCGTGTATGTATAACATATAGGTTGATTCATGTACACCATGAGACTGTTGTGCAGTCCACTATGTGTGTACCATATGTAGAGGGTTGCCAAAGTCTCCTAGTCTTACAGGAATCTATCCCTATAGAATGACCAATATTTTATTATATTGCATATTTATATGAATTTATGGATTATGTAACTTACAAAGAAATCTGCTTTTTCTGGCAGACAAAGATAATCTTCTAATTCATCAAAGTCTGTTTTGTTTTTTATTGGTAGCATATCATCTATTTCTGTTTTTTCCTCATTTCTCAGATTCGATGACCTTTCCATGTTGAATACTTTATCACCAATTTCTTTCAGCATTTCTTTTATCTCACACATGTTCTTTTGTATTTGTTCCAATGCTAAAATTAAAATTATTTTCATAAGCATTAGTTCCTCAAAAATTACAGCAACATACCTATGCAACATTTCTCACAAGGAGCCCCAGTTGGAGGAACAATTACTGTAAATTCTTCAAAGTCGACGGGTGTATCTTCATTGATTGGTGGTGGTATTTCCAGTTCCTCTGAAAAAATTGCTTTTGTTATCTAGGTAGTCATTCATATACAGTATGTCCCTGGATTGAGTTCACAAGAGGAAAAAAAACTGTATTTTCTGTTTTACAAAAAAATTACATATGAATAACATTTTTTGCTTATTTCAAAACGAATAAATCTGCAATTAAAATTTTAATATTATCAGGTTGTGTCCTTAAAATCGAAAAAAACAAAAGTAACGAAGAACTTGAAGTATGAAAAAATTAATTTTAAGAGTACAGACCAGGAATATTGAAGTTTTAATTGCAGATTTATTCGTTTTGAATTAAGCAAAAAATGTTATTCCTATGTCATTTTTTTGTAAAATAGAAAATACAATTTTTTTTCCTCTTGTGAACTCAATCCGGGGACATAGTGTATATTTGCATGAAATATGAATACTTAATTTGTAATTATCTACGAATAGTAATACAAGATTTTTTTATAATAATTCAGTATCAAAAATTTTGTACCGCTAAAGATTTTGCATGTGAAAAAGTAGAGTTCGCTATCAAATAAAATTATGAAGGAAATCTTGAAAACGTTTATAGTGCAAGAATCTGTTAATACGAAAATGTAAATGTGGATACAAAAAAAGAATAGTATGTGACTTTTTAAAATTCTTTTTGCAATTTACCACCATAACTACTTAGATAATAGAATCTAAGATAATAAACCATAACTTGTTGTTCAATTGTGTTTTTAAATATTCTATAATTGGGGCTTGCTCTGTGAAATATTTTCTACTAATAATAATATTATTAATAATAATAATAATAATATTTAAAAAGCGGCATTCAATTTTCTTGTAATTATAGCAAAGCTTATTTTTAAAACTTCAATAGGAACCTGAACAATGATTGTTATACCAACAGCAGCATTTAAATAAAATTTAAATTTATCACAAAAAACTCTAAATACGCCATTTTGGTTATAACTTGCCTTCTGTTTCAGAATCGGTTTCTGCATCAGATATTTCTGCATTGACATTATGTACTTGAGCTTTGGTTGCTTGTTTTGTATTTATAATGTCTCCATCGCTTTCGTCTGTAGTGTAAATAATCACACTTGCTTCGTGTCTTGCCTTCTCGTAAGTATCTGTAAACACAAATGATGCAAATGATACAAATATTAGATATTTTTTAACAAACTTACCGAAGTATCCTTCAATTTTGACGACGGGACTTCTTTTCCAAGTTTCTTTATTTGGTTGTTTATTGTTGTATATATAATGGGTACTATTTTTCGTTGAAGGCCACCAGCAAGTCTTGCGGTCCTTGGATAACCAGATGACAGGAACTTCAGAGACAGATCCATCTTCAAACCTAACTACCGCATATCCAGTCGAAGATAATACTTCCATATTTTTTTTCTAAACCGATAACATTATTTATAAACAAAATTGTGGTTTTAAAGAAACAAATAATGCAATAGCAACATATTGTCATAATAAAACTAATGTGAAATCTCAATAACAGCAACAAGAACGAAAACAAAGTGTCATATGATTGTTCACATAAAAATTTGATCTAAAGTTAGAACTCCTAAAAAATGAAATAACAACCGCCGTAGTATTTTTACTTCCCAACTATAATTATGTAAGCGTGTACCAAATTTTAGCAGCTTGCCAATGTAAATAAGAACGTCAGATAGAGCCGTAAATTTTGGCTGAAACACCCTATACCTAAACTAATGTATAGTACAAGATCACTATTTCATATTATTTATGAACGAGGGAAACTATTGCAAACAGTGATTCAACCATTAAAGGAAGTTTTAAACACTTAGTTTTAACTTCACTTAAAGAAATAATTGTTGTATTTTCTTCAAAATTCTTTTCATTTATTAAATAAAAACCAAATTGGCTAGATTCGGAGGGATATCTGAAAAGTGAACTGGTGGCCATATTTTTTTTTTCCTTTAATAAAAATTTCATCATTTGATAAATAAAATTCATTTATTTTACAAATCGAACCAGCAACTGTTTCAATGTAACAATTAATATCGTTGTTTGACAAAACAAAATTTTTTGTAGCAATTTTTGCTATAACGGTTTTGTCGCCTTTTTCATAGTGAATAATAGGATAGTCGGTTCTCTTAAAGCTTGTTGGTACACCCTCTTGTTCTAAAATTCGGTTGTATATTTGTCTTAATGGGTTTCGGCCAATTTTTATTTTGTTTTTAATAAATTGCATGTAATTTTCAAATTTGAATGCGCTGAAATTATCTAAAGGGCCAAACTTTTTTACATCATCCGCTAGGTGAATTAGGTTGTGTACATTATAAACTAAATATTCTTTACCATATAAAATCGAAAAATTCTTCACAAAACATCTAAGCAAAGAATTTGCGTAATTGTTATGTGTGAAGCACTTCTTTGCATCCAATAAAATTCTCGTGGCTACACTTAAAAGCAAAAAGTGTTCATAATAGGTTGTTGGTAAAGTCTCTTTTAAAACAATTGGACCTGTATATAAAAGAAATTGCCTGAACTCGGTTGCTTTCCAACGTTCAAATTCTCGAATACTTCGTGGTTTTCTAGAAAATTCACAGATTATTTTGGATTTAATGGAATTAAAATAATTGTCAATTTTGTTAACTGTTACTGAATTAAATTTTAATTTCTTTTTATGAATAGGTGGCGTGGAAATCCAGAAACGAATAAGCCTTTTTGTAACTCCTAAACAAATTAAATGCATATAATCTATAGGTATTTGAGAAACCATTCCTAAATTTAAATTTTCCAAAAGAGATGTATTTTTATGGTGTTCTTGAAATGTTTTCATTTGAAAATCGTCGTCAGTACGTAATGGTGCATTTAATTCGGGAAATGTCATGCGATAATTTATTCTTACTCCTTTTTGTACGCACTTAGAACAACCATAATACGACATATGAGGTACAGTTTCTGTAACAAAAGCTTTTGCGGGTGCGTCGCAAATGACAGCATTTATCGAAACGTGTATATTTTTTCCTTGAAAAAAAATTCCGTTTTGCAGTACATACGATGCTTCATTTACAAAATCCTGAAGGAGTTCATGACTAGTTTTAGGTTTACTAAAACCATGAAAAATACCTATTATAAATGGTTTAGTGTAAAAATCGCAAACAATTGCTCCTAATATAGGCCAAAACTGACTACCCGAACTTTTTGCAAGAGGGAGACCATCAATATTTAAGTTTACTTTGATACTTGTTGGAGGTTTATCGTAATATACGGACAATGAATTACTAAGACCCTTCGCAAAGCCAAATATAGCAAATTTACCCGAATCTACTTTTTTTATTAAGTTTTGGTATCGTACGCTTCTTGGAGTTTTCATGAATGATCTTGCGTCTGTAGGTAAATGTTCTAAACCATTAATTGATTTTAATATGCTCAACAAACTATTTAAGGCTGACTGAGATATATTGAACTTTAATTTCCAATTACGAAGTTTTTCTATAAAGGAAACGTTTACTACGTTGTTACGAGTATTATTAATGTCATAGGTGCTGCGACTATTTAACACTGAATCTGCAGCACTTTCCACATTTTTAAAAGTCATATTATCGTGATTATTTGCATTGATATGGGTGGCAGTAATATTGCTATCAAGAATGTTACAATTGCCAATAGTAGACTCTTTATTGTTAGAGTTATTGATGCTGTTACTGATCAACACTGAATCTATAACACTCTCCGCGTTTTCAAAAGTAATATTATCGTTGTCTTTTTTATGAATTGTTTGTAACACATTATTCTCTTTCATAAAATTTTTATAATGTTGTAATCTACGGTATTTCTGTGTGTTTGATAAAGTACTAAATGGTTTTAAATTTGTTTTAGACATTTCTTGAACTGTCAATTTTTGGCCTTGAAATTAAAAATAACAACAAAAATTAAAATTATGAAGTTATTAAATATCAACTTACCGTGTGTAAATAGCGACGACACTGAAGTACAGAAATTTTCACAAAACTGCACTACAAATACAGTGAGTAACGAAAACACGAGAGAGCTTGCAGAACTTTCGGAGGTTGAACGTTGAAAACCAAGTGAACGATTTCGAAATTTTACAAAGCTTCACCGGGAAATGGAAGTGCAATAACCATAAATACCGAAAACAATTCATGGGACAATCCGGACTGCTCGCCCCAAACATCTGGTGCGGTAAATATGGAAGAGGCTTATTATTTCATTAGATGAAATAAATTTAATACTTAAATAATAAAATGAATATTTTTCTTTGTTTCGTTTTATGTAGTAGGGGATGAGTGATAGAGGTGATATCCCAGGGTCGATTCCAACAACGTCTTTATAAAATCCAACGAATTAAGTCTTCACAAACTTGTCGCCGGTCGCGGTTCATCTTTCAACGACCACAATTGAGAAGGAATTTTTATGACTTTGTTTTTCTATTTCGTCCGCAGCAAACCATCATACCCTCAACCCCAGATGGTCTGTACTTACAATAACACTTTTACTTTTAGAATCATTGAGTTTTCAGAATTAGTTATGTGTATAAGAAATTATTAGAACAGGAAAAAAATGATCATAAACCATATTTGTAATAGGTAAAGATTTTGTCTTATTTGTTTTCAATATATTATATGTGATTAAATTTGGAGTGACAGCTTAGGCAGAGATATAGGTTGGACAATAATGCCTCATTAAGTTATCACCTACTTATACATTCTATTATTAA